TCCTTTTCGAAAGTTAATTACTTGTAAATATTGGATATTGGTGGCTCGGGATAGTGCGACATACAATTGACCTTCGGCTCAGATTCTTTCGCAATCAATTTTCAATCTTTCAATAGTTTGCCCTTGGCTCTTGTGAATAGTAATGGCTCAGCAAAGTACTAAAGGTATTTGACAACGGCTGGCCAAAACAACTTCTTGATTATTTCTATATTCCAGCAATTTATATTCAAAGGGCTTGATTAAAATTTTTTTCCCACCAGTAAATTTGACTAAGGGATATTTTTTGCCATCTTCCTCTTTAAATTCAACAATTATGCCCTGACTGCCATTAAATAACTTTTTTTCAAACTGGTTAATGGTTAGCATGACTTGGGCACCAATTTTTAACTCTAATTTTTCGGGTGCCAAATCTTTGGCTAAAATGTTTAAAGTGTTGACTCTTTGTTCTTTATCGCGGGCACAATAAGTAATAGAGAAAGTAGGAAGTTTGGCTAGTTCTTGAAAATTAATTTGATTAACCTCTTCATTAGTCGAATAAAGTTGAGTAGGTTGAATGCCATCATTGGGTCATTCTGGTTCTCTCTGTAAATTATCTAATAATTGAAAACTATCTGAAGATAAACGATTATCGCGTACATCTTGTAAGAGGGTAATAAGCTGGTTATCATTTTGTCGATAGATTTGATTTAAACGAACTATATTGGAAATACATTGATTTCAACTGTTGGCTTCAAAACATCATTTATAATAACGTTCGACTGGTGACAATTGAAAAAAATCACCACAAATAATCAATTGAATGCCGCCAAATGGCTTATCACTGCCCTTAATTTGCCGAGCAATTATTTCCAATTTGTCAAACAAATTACCATCTAACATGGATATCTCGTCAATAATTAGCACTTTGCATTTCTTTCAGCGATTGATTTTTTCTTTTCTTTTAGTTATTTTGGTCAGCATTTGACGCCAATCGAGTTCTCCAGTAGCACCAATTCCAGCAAAAGAGTGCAAAGTTTGACCGTGAATATTAATAGCAGTTCGTCCCGTGTAAGAAGTAATAAACAATTCTTCTTCGTATTCATCTCTTAATAATCCAATCAAATACTTTAACAAAAAACTCTTACCAGTTCCAGCTTCACCTAAAAAGCAAATGTTTTGTCCGGCCAAAACTAGCCGACAAACTTTTTTTTGTTCTTCATTTAATTTTTGGAACTTATCCTGCCGTTCTTTTTGGAGGATGTTTGATTTTTCGGTATTTTCTTCTTCTTTGAATTTTTTTTTTTCTCAATCACCTTCTCTTGCTTTATTTGGCTTTTCTCTGGCAGAAATTTCTTCTCAATAAGTAATTTCTTTATCGTTACCTAAAAATTCTATTTCTCTGCATCTAAATCGGCCCTGTGACCCCTCAATACATTTTAAAAGGCAAATTTTCTTTTCTTCAGAGTAATTTTCTAATAATTTTTTGCCAAAAGAGCATTCGAATCTCCCCTCTTTATTTTCTAGTTTGGCCCTATAATATCCATAAGGACCGCGGATGGACTGAAAATCATTTCAAATTGGTTTTTCAATAAACCTAGCGACTGTTTTAAGCATTTTTCGGTGTTATTATAATTTAATTTTACTATTTTGGTAGTTAATCCTCACCTTTCAAACACAAAATGGGAGAAATAAATTGATGGATAGTCGAAATCTAGATTTAATCCCGACCTAATTGGCCATTAGGGGAGGATTAAAATTAAAGAACAATTTTTAGTGCCATATAACAAATGACCTTCCTTTTTACTGAAATTGAAATCCTTGAATAGATTTATAAGTAAGAATTAAAAATTGTCATAAAAAACAAAGATGGAATTAAACGGAAGTCCAAATTTTAAGTTTTATCACACAATTCAAGTGAATTTTGGTTTGAGAGAAGAATTAAAAAAAAAAGAAAATGTTACTGGATAAATAAGAGTAAATTAAATTGAAAAGTGCATGGGTAGTATTTTTTTGGATTTTACTGAGGAAACAACCCAAAAATGAGAAAAGCATGATTTTGATTATGCCAAATGATTAAGAGATATCAAAAAAGTTAAGACAGAACAATCATTAGACCAAAAAAAATTAAAAAAAAGAGTATCACAATTATTCAATTTCACGATGAAATGGTAAAGATTTACTAATGAACAAATTACAGAATGGATCAGTGTTGGCCTAGGGTTGCAAGACGATGGTTATGCAGCTTGAATGAGAGATATTCAAAAGATAACTCCTGACGAATATTACAACTTGATAACAAATTGCTAAGAGAGCAACACCAAACTTTTTTAGCAGAGCGAAGAGGCCAGAAAAAAGTCACTGAAATTAGCACAAACTGAAAGAACATTCATCCTGATTTTACTCCGGAGGAAGGACAAGGTTTTGATTACCAAACTACCGAAGCCTGAATAGATATTGGTTTAACCGTTCAAGATAGTGCTTATGGAGCTTGACTAAGAAATATTAAAAAACTAAGTTCTGAAAAAGCACCGAGAGAAGAATATAACAACGATTTAGTAGCAACTCAACAATGATTGGATAAACGGTAAAATTAAGTTAATAATCTTCGTCTTCATCCCATTCCAGAGAACCAGTTTGATATTCAGTTAAGCGAGTTTCAAAAAAGTTTTTTTCTTTATTTAAATCGACACTCTGTGACATTCAAGGAAAAGGATTAGTAGTAAAATACATTTTTGGCAGACCAATTCTTTCCAAACGACGATCGGCCACATATTCCACATATTTACTGAATTGCTCGGCATTAATTCCAATCACTCCTTCTGGGCAAGCATCCAAAGCATATTTTTTTTCTAATTCGACTGCTTTTTTAATTAATTCGATGATTTCTTTTTGAAACTTGGGTGTTCAAACTTGGGGATTTTCGCTCTTAATGGTATTAATTAAATCACAACCAAAACCTAAATGCAAACTCTCATCGCGCATAATAAATTCAAATTGTTGACCAATGCCGACCATTTTATTACTTCGTTTCAAAGCCAGCATCATAGCAAACCCGGCATAGAAAAATATTCCTTCCATTATCACATAATAACCAATCAAATCGTGGAGGAAAGTTTGAATATCTTTATCATTTTTAATTTCAAATTTAGGATCAAATATCGATTTGGTTAACTCAATGACAAAATTATCTTTTTCTTCAATCGAAGGGATAGTCAGATACATATTATAAATTTCATCTGGGTTTAAGCCTAGACTATCACAACAATAAATAAAAGTGTCAGTATGAACAGCTTCTTCAAAGGCCTGGCGCAACAAATATTGCCGACATTCAGGATTAGTAACGTGACGGTAAACCGCCAAGACAAGATTATTGGCAGTTAGTGACTCGGCTGTGGAAAAAAACCCTAAATTTCACAAAATTAATTTCCGTTCGGCGGGACTAAGAGAAGTCGAAGATTTTCACTGCCCGACATCAGATTGCATAGCAATTTCTTCAGGAACTCAATTATTGGCAATGCCATCTTTATAATATTTGCGAGCTCATAAATATTTCATTGGTAAAATCTTATTAGGGTCAGTTTGGGAAGAGCCAAAAATAGTTCGGTTATCTTTTTTCGGGGAAGGATTGGCAGTAGACATATAAATATTATTTTAAAGCAGATTTTTTTAATTCTAATTGTTGCACCAATAGCTTTCTTTTACTTATTACAGGGTTTATTAAATATAACATGCTGGAAGCAAGGGACGAATTGGATGACAAAAATAAAACATTAAAAGTCGAGAATAATCGATTAAGATTTGAGAATGGTTCCGAAGATGAAAAAAAAGATTCTGGCTTTGAGGAAGATGATAATAGAAGAAAAACGCATTCATTTAATAACACACACACACAGAGAGAGAGAGAGAGAGCAGGTACCAATCCCTTTAACTCTAACCTCCATTCCGCTGAGGATAACCAAATAAAGGAATTAAAGAGGCAAAACAAGGAGTTAGAGGTCAAAAATAGCGAGTTAGAATGAGACTTAGCCAAAAAGAATTCTCTCTTAGAAAAAGGAGATTATCATAACCTACTTACTCAAATTACCCACCAATCCAGAAGAATTAGTGATCTGGAAGGAAATTTAAACTCAAAAGATGAGAAAATTGGCTTATTAAGCAGGAAAAAAAATGAAATTGAAAGGCAATTAGAAAATCTAACAACTAAAAAAAATGAGTTAGAAGCTAATTTAGCCACCGAAACTCGAGCCAAAAATGAGGCTCAAACTAAATTAAATAACACCCGAGAGGAATTAAAGAATAAATCTGAGGAGGCAAATCAAACCCAAGCGAAAATTGACACTCTTGATAGTCATCTAAAAAATACACTTCGGTCTTTTCATGGTTTACAAGAGGAAAATAAAGAATTATCAAAAAGGCCGCCATTAGACGACTACAATGAACTAAAAAGAACCTTAGCCGAAACCCAAG